AAGTTTATTCTCATTTTGCAAACAGTAAAAATACAAGAATGACAGAAATTAAGATTGAAGCTGGTCAGGTGAACACTAGACGACTGTCCCCTACAAGGAACTTAATAGCTGGCTCAATTGGTGGCATGGTTGGATGGATAGCTGGCCAACCCTTGGATACAGTCAAAGTACGCCTTCAAATCCAACCCCAAGGAAATCCAATATATAAAGGCCTATTTGACTGTTTGTTTAAGATTATCAAGACAGATGGATTTGCTGCATTGTATAGGGGCATGTTGGCACCRGTACTAATGTCAGCACCAGCCACTGCGCTTGGTTTTTTCAGCTTGTCATTGGGAAAGAGACTACAGCTTGAACGCCCTGATCTTGAACCAACCATGTTTCAGAATGTTAATGCTGGCATATTTGCTGGGTTCTCAATTGCACTWGTTATGGGGCCTGCAGAGAGACTTAAGTGTTTAATTCAGGTTGACAAGACTTCTGGTAAGGTTCGTAAGTATRCTAACACATACGATTGCTTCAAAAAGGTCATGAGGGAAAGTGGTTTTCGTGGAGTGACTCATGGTATGGGATCAACTTTTGTACGAGAGATGGTTGGAAATGGAGCCTGGTACGTCACCTATGAGGGTCTGCTACAGCTGTTAAGAAAAGARGGYCATACTCGTGATCAAGTAGATGCAGCAACAGTWGCCTTTGCTGGAGGAGCTGCGGGGCTTGCATTCTGGGGGACYGTGTTCCCYGTTGATGTCCTAAAAACTCGATTACAAGTGGCCCCTTTAGGACAGTACCCAAATGGTGCTAGGGGMATTCTCATGAATGTCCTCAAAACAGAGGGTCTTAGGCCTCTTTATCATGGATATGTCCCTGCCTTGGCAAGGGCTGTGGTACTACATGCATCTTTATTCGTAGGATATGAATTTTCAATGAAAGCTATGAACCACCTCTTTCCATAGCATTGGATTTCACTCACTGGATTTATCTCAATTTTTTAGAATGTATATTTTGATGAGAATAAAACATTTATAATAGCCGAGAGCACAAGTTCTTTTCTAAACTCATTCTTCCACAACAYATTCCTTTCTTTTTTAACATCCCTTAGTTAACTGCTAAAGAGTATTGTCTTGAAACTACTGTGTTCATTTTTAAGTTTTAGTTGAAGCAGCTTTGGAAAATCTAGCATCTTTCCTATCTTGCATGGCTTACATTCAGGTGTCTAGCAAACTTTGGGCTTGAAAACCAGCACCTAAAAAAAAACGGAGCCTATCAAAAGACTAGTCTAGATACACAAATGGCTGCTTTTCAAGGATTTAAGGACCTGCACAGACCCTGATAATCATTTGCACATAAGGAATACTTCTCTTGACTTGTAATCAAGCTTTATATCAACATTTCATAATACAAAGCCATGGTTAACATGAATATAGGTTTAGATTCAAACAAACAGTCCAAAATAAACAACAGTTTTTACTCCTAAAAGAGCATATAATATTATTTTCATAAACTCGTTGATAAATATACTTAAAAATGTTAAAAAATGTTTAGAGCAACAACATGCAAAGCTTATAAATACAACACATTGCACTATGCACTCAATTACTAAAAAGCTGTTAT